CCACAATCCCCACCGAATAAAACCAATTAAAAGCCAAATATTTAACGTTGTGATTTCCTGTTTAAAATTTCCTTAAAATAAACCCGATTTTTAAAATCCTCTCTAGGCCAGGCCCGCTTGCTGGAAAAGCCATGTCTTGAGGGCGCGGCGGAAAGTAAAGAGATCCGGAATCATCCGGATCTCGGGGGGTAGATCGTTCTATATGGCCACATGTTGCTGCTATTCCAAAATATGAGGAAGTGATATTTTTGTAAGCAAAAGCTGCAGAAATATGAACATAGGCAAACCCTGTGAAGGCTGTAAAATACACTTTGAAAAAAACACCACCACCATAGATGTAGGTTCCTCTATAAACCTTTTCATGACTGATTTGGCACTGAAGTCTGAGCTCCTGTGGATTTACATTTGATTAAATAAAAAAGTGGCTGTATTCTCTGAATATCATAAACGAACAGATGCCTGATTTGATATATATGGGCTGCTATTCATCTTACAATATGTTGGGATTAAATATTACTCCTTTAGAAAGATAGGGAGAAAACTGTCCTTTTTCATGATCTGCTGAAAGAATATGTGCCTGCTTTTGAATTTGTGATGATCATTTAACAACCTTGTCTGGTATGCCATTTATCAGGGTAAGAATATTTCTGTCAGTCTCTCTCCCTTCCAAATACTGGATTTCAATGCCTAAAACCTGTCCAGCTGCTCATGCATTTGCAGGCCATGTCATGCTTTACAAAAATGCCAAATTATCTAAATTGCATTAATTTAAGGGGAAAGCTTTTTAAAGCTGTGATATTGTTGTCCAAATTTATGGAGATGATTCTGAAAAAAAGCAGAATGGGTATTAGCTAAAGGTAGTTCGGGGGGGGGGAAATAATGATGGTGATGCGTAAAAAATTTCTGCCTTCTCTAATACTTTCTTTGCCTGTATGACTCTGAATGCAGTAAAACAGGGGTCTTCCAGCTTGGCCTTTTTATGACTTGTGGACTTCAACTCCAAGAATTCCTCAGCCAGGCACGCTGGCTGAGGAAATCTGGGAGTTGAAGTCCACAAGTCATAAAAGGGCCAAGTCTGAAAACCCCTGCAGTAAAATATTGTCTTGGCAGAGCTCTGCAGAATTATTCTACCCAGTAAGTTGCTTTAGGTACCAGACTGAAATACGGAGCAGAGCATTATGTTGAGGCCTCCTGCTTCTTGATACCAAAACCCAAAGTCTGAGATATTTTTTTTTTCTTTTTCTGACATATTTGTATCCCAGCTATAGTAATAGTTCCCCAGGTAAACTGAGGATGCAAGGCTGGTAGTTGAGATGGGTGAGAGTGTCATGCATGTTCAAAGAAATGGAAACCTGACTGCATTCCCAATATTCTTGAATTGATCATCTTCATAATTGATCATCTTCTTTCTCATGAAACAACACAGCTGAAATGTTAAAGAAGCAGTCTACTCTTTGCTAAAGTATAACAACTACTATAATAATAATAATTTAGTAATTTATTGAATTTGTATGCTTCTTGACTCTCAATGACTGTGAGTAACTCGCAACAAGCAAAGAAATTACAATAAAATCATTATAAAATTTAAAATAAAGATAAAAGATGGCAGACCCAATGAAGTGAGGGGGTCTCGATGTTCCTCCTCAAAGATCTGGGTAAAAGGTGGGAGGCATCCAGATCTCAGGAAGAACATCATTCTAGAGGACAGATTCTCCTCCAGAGAAGAGGCACTTCTGGAGTCCTGAGAGATGACATGGTTTAATCAAAGAAATCCAGAATGTGCCAACCATACAAGATCAAATTGGTCAGGCAGTTGTCAGTTCCCAGATAATGAAGCTCTGTGCTATGTAGAGCTTTGTAAGTAATCATCAGGACCTTGAATCATACCTGGAAACAAAGATCAAAACTTGGGAGAGAGTCTCTTCCCAAGGCAGACAATTTAGTGATGGAAAGAACAAAAGTTTGCCTGTTTCATGTTACTCTTCCCCCATTGTGTGTAGGGGATATATATTTTAAAAACATCTGGAGAGGGTTCACCTACTTAATCTTCTACCTTTAAAATCCAATCTGTGGATAGTTACTCACCTTTCAACTCTTGATTATGACATATGCCTCTCCTGTTTTATATTATGCTTTTTGGTTTAACATTCGTTCTGCATTTATTGAACTATAATAGTAGATGGTGCAGTAGAAAAGGTGTAGAAAACAAGAACTTTTCATGGGCTTTGGAGAGTGGAAAAAAGGAGGCAGATATCAATACTTGTCGTGTTATCACTTTTGTAGTTAATCAAACCCAAGTATGTAATGGTGACATTTGCATGATAAAATCCCAAGAATGGAAAAGCAATGAAGCAACTCTATGTGTCATGTGTCTGATTAACGAAACACTTCAAAGAACTTTCAGGCATTTTTTTGAACCTAAAAAGCCTTTATTAGTGTTACAGAGTGTCAGCATGGCATGGTGGAATGCTAAGATCTGAATTTCCCTTCCTTTGCACATAACATTCCAGGCATTTCCCCTCCCCTATTTTGGGGTTATGATTCACATCTTCCAATTAACTTGGAGGACAAAGATTCACTTCCATTCCTTTTCCCCGGGCTTTCCTTATATTCTCCTCCCCTTTCACTGTCACCTGATTTAACTCTAAAAATACCAGACAGTTCTGCATATATTGTCAAAGCAAGAATATTCAATATTAGCAGCGTTGACACTATGTTTTAAAGGTTCTGTTATATTTTCTATAATATACTAATATGTTCAATAATGCAGCAGACATTATGTGAGTTTCAGAATCATATGTAGACTCACTGACATGAAAAGGATTTAAATTACTCATTTCATTACTAACATTTCATTACTAACATTTCATTTATATATATAAATTTGCATTGATTTACAGTCTTGATCAAATGGTAGTTCAGCAAATGGAAATATTCTCCTTTATTTTCCTACTGCAAAATTTGAACCTTCTTTTTTTTAAAAAAAACCTCTTGTAGATATTTCTTACATAAGAGGATACATGTTTCTTATTCTTGGATGCAATCCATAGGGCATCACTTTCTCTCAATTCTTAAAAGGGCTGTCCTGTTTTTGAGGATTTCAAATGCCCTTTTCCTCAAATAATTTAAAGAATTAATTATGAGGATTCAAAATATGTATGAAATACACAGCTTCAATACAAGAAGCTAAGTGAAAGTAGTTCCTCTTATCACGGCAGCTGCTAAACACTATCAGCAATTTTTGAGAAACTATATATTATCTTGGTAAATTTTGTTACTCAGCTTTATGTTCATTTTACTCTTAATCCTTTGTTTTTTTAACCTCTTTTTGAATATTTTTTGTTATGATGTAGTGCTATGGCCTAGGACCAAAACAAATAAAAACTAATAAAAACATTAATAAAAGCAAGAAAATATATTTTAGGCAGATTTCTCTTCTATATTTATATTCCAGTCTAATCAGCCTTGAGCTAATTACACTGACGAAATGATCTCTAACTGTGGATTGGAGGGGAACTGATTTGTTTTAAAAAATGAAGCCAGGCTTTTAGTCATATCCTACTAGGAATTTTCTTTAAAGAATTGAAAAAATGTCAATGTCAATCAAACCTTAGCCACATGAATTCATGATTGGCTTACAGACTTTTTAAAATGCTTTCCATAAAGCATGATAGAGAAATATGAATACAATCATCTCTCTTATACTGTGACTTGTTATATGATAATATGAATTGCATAATGCGGAACTTGGAGGTAGTGATGTTATGTTGAAACCCTGTTTAGTGATATATCATGGTTTGCTGTTGTTGTTTCCT